TATCGGCCGAAACATTGTTCAAAACGATGGAAAACGCTGCAAAACGGGCACTACTCGCCATGCAGGCTCAAGGCGATCATTTAAGAGATATCATATTCAACAAATAATGTACACAAATCTCCTTGAACCATATTAAATGGCTTTTACAATGAAAAGCAAAAAATGTGTTTTTTTTCCCATGATTAACAAAAAAACATCTTTCCGTCGAATATGGCCAACCCTGTATGTTGTCAAGGTTATGATTCTGAGTAACTTTGCCTCAACAACTATATGGCGATCTTATAGTTTCAGAGATATTTAAACTTAGTCTAATTTGTGTCCCATACAGCACAGAAAGATTGCAGAAACATGCAGAATGATTTCACTGGAACATTGCAATATTGTATGATAGTTGCTGAACTATTGCTGCAAGATTCCAATAAGTTAATGTTAAGATATCCGCTTTTTGTTATATGTTGCAATGAAACATTCCAGCAATATTGTAATGTAATGCATTTGGATAAATTTTTTACAAAGACTCTAAAATAAAAACTATTCTCTGTACATATATCTCACTAACTTTAATTTTCTACAAATTGCATTTCTAGTGATACGTGCAAAAGCAATTTTTTATGATAAAACCATAAAATATTCCAAAAAATGTATTATTAATTCTGAAGGATAAATTTATTCGTAAAATAAAGCATGTATGTGTTGTGCCCCGAACAAATTATAAATATTATCCACGTTAACATAATAATACAATCGCTTGGTAAGTTAATCATAGATTAACTTACATTGCAATCTGCAATATTGCAACATTGTAGCAATATTGCTTCAATTTTTTGTGCTGTATGGGGTAATAATTATTCACATTAAGGAACAGTGCGCCGATGACCTTGACCTTGACATATGTTGTCAAGGTCATGACCCTGAGTGACTTCCAACAGGTTTCAGATGGTGGTCATCCTTTGTTAAAAAGTTATTAACAAATAAAGTTTGAAAAATGGTGTCTCTTTTCTACTATGTGAAACAGAAATTTCTTGTTTTAAAATATAATTTACGACTTTCCACGCAAAAAAAGCAACTCTCATCCCACCTCCCTCTCTACCAAGAACCGATTGTAAGAGCTTCCACAATCAGATAGGAGTTTGATTAGGCCCCTGAAACATGAGGGGGATGAAAGTCGCTTCGCGTGGAAAATCGTAAAATATATTTTAAAGCAAAAATTCCTATTTCACATAGTAAAAAGAAACCATTTTTCAAACTTTTTTTGTTAATAACTTTTTAACGAACAGCGACCGCCACTTAAAACTTAACTTTAAACAAACTTGTTGGAGATCACTTAGGCTTATGATCTTGACAACATATGTCAAGATCAAGATCATCAGCGCGGTGTCCCTTCACATAAATAATTATTACATAAATAAATTAGACTTTTAAGTCTAAATATCTCAGAAGCTATAAGAGACCGCCACCTAATTGTTAAGATAAAGTTACTGAGAATCATGACCTTGACAACATATATCAAGATCAAGGTTATCGGCACGATATCCCTTAAAGTGCATGAACTATACAAACATATTGTGTGTAATTTACAAGAAAAATTTATTGGATCGAAAAGTTCTGATAGATTTAACAGAAAAGCATTATTCGATCAAGAGATTTTGATAGGTACATTTAATGGGAAAAACATATTCGATCAACAAGAAATTCTGATAAATTTAAAAGGAAGGGATTAATCGTGCCAGTAATGCTGACAAGAATTCTGATTTATTCATTTTTGAATAGTCATACCAGTTGAATCAGTTTTGAATAATCATACTAATTGAATCTAGTAGTTTTCAATTAATCCAATCCAGATTCTTTTTTCACTGCAATAGTTCGAAAATGTACAATTATAAAAATAGAATCTTTTAATTATAGAACAAAGGACGCCATAATAAAATGGTAAAATTATCATATACTTAGCGCGCGCGCTTGTGTATATGTAGAGAGAGGGGAGGAGGGGAGGGAGGGAAGGAAGAAGGGCGGGCGGAAAAAAAAGGGGGGGGGGGGAGGGGGAGAGAGAAAGGGAGGGGGAGGAAACGGAGATATTCATATATTTGGTTCGTGAAGAAGCCTGATACCATTTCAGACAAATCGTTGTTTGAGTGTAACAATTAAAATATTTTTAAAACATACGTGAATAATTTTTGATTGTATGAAATTAGCGTTCCACTTTTAGAATTAACTTGATTCGAAAATTATAGCAAGTTTATGTTACACTGCTAGAATATTATAAAAACTGTAATATAAAAAATACGTTAAAATGGAAAAAAAAAGATTTTTAAGTCATTCCTCACTATATGTTTTTTTCAATTTTTTATATTATTAAGTTGTATTAGGTTTTAACATTGTGCTATCACCAGGATGCGTTCGAGCACGATCTCGAGGCGCTCACGGAGAACTGCTGCATGTTAGTCGGCTGTCAGATGCTCACTGAAATGAGATAGCTACATTTTTTGAAGAGATTCGGAGCCCGCCCGAATATTATATCTATCTCGGTTAGCGCGCCTACTCAATGTAATATAGAATGCGGAGATTTTTTTCTATCTTTTTCTATATTGATTTGAGATCGCTTGAGACACTTTTCTTCAAAATATTGAAATATTTAGTGAAAAAAATGGGCCTCAAATAAAATTGACAGAAAAAGAATTCTTTTTACATCTGAAAATGAATTCAGAATTGATGACGTATCATTAAATTCTTTTTACATTAAATTCTTTGTGTTATTTGAGTATTGGTTGTGTTTTCACGGTTCAATAAGAGATTTTTATTGTTTAATTCTAAAAGTGGAAAGTTAACTTCGTACATGATTATTTGAGTAACAAGCATCGAGAAATTATACAAAAAACAGTTATATATATATAATGAACAATATTACATTTTGTGTAAAAATGACATGAATGATCTTCAAATTATGAAAACAATGATCTGGAATAAATTTTTTCATTATTTTGTAATTATTTTTTCGATTGTAATAATTTTAGTTAATAATATATTTAAAACAACAGATACTTAAGTGTATTTTTCTTCTATATATTAATATATTAAGAAGACAAATAATTCAGAATAAAAATTTGTAGTATAAATAAAACATAAAATATAACATACAGTAATTCTTTTCAGATCCTCTTCGCTCGGTTGTTCGAATTCACATTGAAAAGACACGAGCCTATTTATCAGTTCTTCCTGTTCAGGACTAATAGGCTTATCGCAGGTGTAAGGATTGATAGGAGTAAGAATGCCGCTACTTCCGGATATGGATAACGACTCGGCTTCCGCTGGTTCGATTTTGACGCCCATTTGATCACCCATTCCAGCGCTGCTTGGTGAACCGTTCATTGTCGTACTGTTTGGTTTATCTTTTTCCTACAGAATATATTAAAACAGATATATAAATAGCTTCATAATAGAAAAGCTCCATAAATTTAAGAAATTAAACGTGTAAATTAAACGTGTCTTCATGCAAAATAATTTGTACAGCTTTCTAGAATTAAAATTCCAACAAATTACTTTCAATCTATATTTTCAAGAAACAGGAATTGTTTACACCATGTACATTAACAATGTACATCAGATATTTTTGTTTAAATAACACTAGTTTATAAAAAAATTTTTTTTTCAATTACTTTGGGCTACATGTCTCTTATAGATTTTTAGATGTTGAAAATGATACCGCAAACAAACAATTTTAGCAGCACGTCAGATTTTCAAGATAATTGAGGTTTAATACTTAAAAAATGACTTTTTTGCGATATTTGGCATTTAAAAAAAAATGCATTTTATAGAGAATGAACAATATATTCATGACTCCTGATCGAAATTTTAAGGTAATGTTAACCTTCTTTATTAAAAAAAAAAAATCAAATATCACAAAAAAAGCCATAGGTATTTAAACCTCAATTATCTTAAAAATCTGAATTTCTTCGTGCCAGAATTTTTTCGCTTGCAGCATCGTTTTCAGCATCCAAAAATCTATAAGAGACACATAGTCCGGTTCAAAATAATTTTTTGCAGTAAGTGTAATCATAGTACAACAAATATATATATATAAGGATATAAAAAAATTATATATAATTCTTACAAATCACTATTTGTACAAGATAATTAAAAACGAGTGTAAAAAATTTTAACAGATCGTTTGGGAGCATATTCTGAATATATTTAATACAATAACATGAATATCAACGATACCGTAAATATTGCACATAAAATTTCTCTAATGTGCGATTATACTCGTATATTTTTCTCTAGAATATATACATATATTTATCTCTTTTTTACATTAATTAATTCATCTTATTCTGTGCGTACTGATATAAAAATACAATTACATTAAGTAAACAATGAATAAGCTTTTTGCGAATTATTTTTTGTTTTCAAAATATGCCAGAAAAAAGTATAGAAAAAAATATATCTTGTAAACTATTGACTTTTAAAAATCTTATTTTATTACTTATATACAGATTAATTCGAAGCATCAAATTAATATACAAACCATATAAATCAATTTTAAAATATTAATGTTGCTATTTCCTAAAAAATATTTACAAGAAATTCTATATACTCTCTTTTATCATTATATTTTCTCCGAGGGATAAACTAAATTGCCCCTAAAATTGTGTATATCAATTGCCTACTAATGCTCATTGTCAGTAATGCCCAATTTTGTATGCCTATTAATGCATAACCTCATATTGCTTATTATAATACACGTTTAGTATACAATAACTTTTAAGTAATGCTTTAAATCTACATTGTAATGCTCTCTGCGGTTTATCCTTTGATATGTTCCTTTGAATACTTTTGTGCTACCTTTCTTGTTAAGTATTTTCTATATTTACCAAAAATGAATTATTTTAGATAATAATTTCTAGTAATTAAAAAATCTAAAAAAATCCTTTTAAATTAAAGTCGTGTATTAAAAAAAATATATTTTATTATCTAAAACACTTATTAGATTTGAATAAATCTTCCATATAAAATATGACTTAAAAATTATTTTGAAACATGTTAAATTATATTATATAATATGGAACACATATTTTGTACAATCAAATATTCATCATTATAGGGTATAACTCTGTATACACGCCGTATATAGCAAAAACTTAATTTATGTGTATATTTAATCTATTTACTATTTTTATAGAGTAAATGAACTATATCAAAAATTTTATATTGTATCTACTACTCTAAAAATATTAAGAATCTGAAACATTTATTTTTCATATAAAAAAAAAACTTTATAAAACTGTTGCATTTTTTCTAAATATCCTATAAAAGTGGAAATATGTAGTTATCATAATTAAAATGTACGACTCATGAAACATTTACAAATAATGTTTCAAAGTAAGACATAAAATGACACAGTAGTTTATAACGTATAATAACGTATAATGTATTTACAAAATTTTATTAAGGAATAAGAATGATAAATGTACGAGGTCTGTTCAAAAGGTATCGCGAATTTTGTGTTTTTTCAAAAATTATTTATTTATTCATGAATATCTATTTTGTCCCCTTCAACGTAATCCCCATCAGATATTATACACTTATGCCAACGTTTTTTCCAATCCTCGAAGCACTTCAAAAAATTATTTTTTGTGATCTTGTTCAGCTCCTCCTTCGATGCCGTCTTTATCTCTTCAATCGTAGCGTAGCGTCGTCCTTTCATGGGCCTCTTCAGTTTCGG